GTTTAGTTTGTTTTCCTTAACACCCGTTGGGGAATCCAGGCTTAACAAAGGGTTTCATTGATCAATTGCATAAACATGGCAGACGGTCCTTGCAGTCCAAAGGGGAGCACTTTAAATTGGTAGCATCCCAATGGTGTGTTAAAAGCTATCTTCCACTCATCCCCTTCCTTTATTCGTATGCCTCTCCTAGGTCTAACTTTGAAAAAAAATGTTCCTTTCGAGAGGTGGGCTAACATGTCCTTCATAAGGAGGAGTAGATACATATTCTCTATGCAAATCGTGTTTATTTTTTTGTAATTAACACACAAGCCTATGGAGCCATCTTTCTTTTCGCGGAATAACACTGGGGCAGCTATTTTTGGTCGGGCAGGTTCGCTGAAACCCCTTTTTAAATTTTTGTCGATAAATGCTCGGAGTTCTTTTAGTTCTCTGGGAGACATGCAGTACATTTGTGGTTTTGGGAGTTTAGCCCCTGGTAGGATTTTGATAGTGCAGTCTGTGGCACGATGGGGTGGGAGTTCATCACAAGCTTCCTCGCTAAACACTTGGGCCAGATCCTGATACCCATTGGGGATGTTCATGGGTTCAGCCGACTGTCCGGTCATGGCTGACTCTCTGTTCTCTGTTCCTTTCTTTATCCTTTCCTCTGAGCTATTTGCAAATACTACATCTCTCTGGAATTGTATGGTTCCTCTCCTCCAATTTATTTTTGGATTCCATTTTCACAGCCATGTGAGGCCTAGGACTAGCGGCTCTTCCATTCCTGGGGCTACAATGAATGTGAGCATCTCACTATGGTTCCCTAATCTTATTTTCAATGGTTCTGTGGTAAACCTAGCTGCTCCCCCCCCCCCCGCCACTATAGTTCCATCTAATTGGCAGAAAGCGATGGGATTTTCCATTTCTTTCAGTTGGATCCCCAATTTCTCTGCAAGGGAGGGATTTATTAGGCATCGGGTGCATCCCGAATCCAGCAACGCTGCAACTTCCTCCCCCTTCCCTCAGCTGGGGATAAACAGTCTTAGGGGTAGAGTGATTGGTTCAATTGGGTTGCTTACCAGCGGGTCGTCTTCTGGATCGTTTTCAGACTGGCTCAGGTCCCCTCGGAGCATTGGCGGTTCTTCCTCTGGGTCGGGGGGGATCGGAATCCCACAGCTACTCGGCCCCTCAGGCCAGTCTCAAGGGCTGGATGTTCCAGGTGTCCCCCCCCGATGGGTGGTCTGGCTTTCTGGCAGGGGTTTTCGAACGGCATTCTGCTGCATGGTGTCCCTCCTTTCCACACTTAAAGCAACCAGACGTTCTTGGAGTCATGGTGGTTTGGGGTTTGAAAATTTTCCGTTTCCTCAGGGGTGGGGATCTTTTCCAAAACTTACCACTGCAGTACCGGTTACAAGTCATGTCTATCTCTGCCTCCTCTGCCATCATGTACCATTCATGCAGGAGGTTTGGGGCCCCATGGGCCAGGCAGGCAGCGTATAGGTCATCATTTAGTCCATCTTTGAACCAACAGACTAGGATATCCTCTGGCCAGTTGACTTGGCCAGCCAGGTCATGAAATTCCTTGGTGTATTCAGCTACCGGGCGACGGCCTTGCTTTACGACTCTGATGCGGTCTTGAGCTTTTCTATCGGTGAGAGGGTCTTTGAAGTGGCGGCGTAGGGCCGTCATGAAGCAGTCAAGGTTCCTTAATTCTGGGGCATTGACATTGTGGAGCATCACCATCCATCTGGCTGCTGTCCCTTCAAGGGTCAGGGTGACGACTCTTACTCGGGATCCCTGGGTTTGGAAATTCTGCCCATATTCTTACATGTAGGTGAGGACGTGCGCCAGGAAAAATCCCAGTTTCTGGGAGTCCCCATCGAATTTTACTCCCAGGGGTGGGACCTTCCTCTGCAGTTGTATGTCTCTGGGTTGGTCAGGGTTAATCCCCTGTTCTGGGGCATTTAGGGGTCGGGTATCTTGTATGGCTGCTGGTTCTTCAGCTTGTCCCACTGCCCGATCATTCTCAGCTGAATCCGGGGTGGTGGCTCGGGTTCTCTCATTTTCTGGTTCCCTCGCTCTCCTGCATTGGCATCCTGGTGCATCCCTCACCTCGAGGTTCTCCAGGGCTTCCCTCACGAGGCGATTTATGTACCGTCTCAGTCGGTCATCGGCCGGTGGCTCCTTGCCCCATCCTTCCTGATCTGATAGGGCCTCCAGCTCCAATTTCCATCCGGGTTTACAATTGCCCCGGGTGAGGGTTACTCCCTTGGTTCTTCCATCCCAGCTGTCTCTCTTTCCTATGCCTATAGACCACCGGGGCTTTGTGGAAGTTTCGTAGGCAGCTTCGCTATCTTTGATGGGGTGCACCGAGTCAGTATCTGGCTGGGTAACTGTCAACGTTTCTCGCCAGCATTTGGCTTCCCCTTGGTCCTTGCTGTACTCAGACATTTTCCTTTCTTGCAGGGTCCCCTTGGTAGAGTGAAGGTTTTTTGTAAAAAAAAATTCCTCTCCAGGCTGACCTCTATTGCAGACACTGCTTTATGTCAGGCTACAGAACTTTTCCCATTCAATCAACTAGAATGAACTTCTGAAAACTTATCAAAACGTATCAAAAAAAGAATCCTTTATTGAGATGAGACAATTCACGTAGGGGTTAAAAGCAGCATCTAATGTCTCTCAGGCATGCAGAGATAGATAAGGGAGTTTAAAACTCCTCCCCTTATCTTGATGTGTATTTAGTAAAACAAAGAGCCAACATGTTAATCCCCCCCCTTTTTTAGAATGATCTTTTTCAGAGTTTCCCAGGGCATTCTCACTGTGGACTTTTTATGGTCTCTTCATCTCCTGGCTGTCTCTCTCAGAGGTGATAGGTTCCAGCCATCTGGATTTCATCTCTCCATTGTATCATGTGTAGGTTATACAAATTCGATATAAGATTAAATATATTCAGGCTACATCAAGAAGGATTTCTTTATCAGTCTCCCCCCCTTTACTTCTTCCATTGAAGAAATGACAGGTATATGGATCTGACAACTTCCAAGTGTCCTTCCAACTCTGTTACTCTGTATTGTGTAAATTAAATAATTTTTGTGTGTGTACTCTTTTCTGCAGTATTCATGAAGAATTTCTGTCCAAGTCATCCAGCAGTGATTTTGTAGAAGTCCTTAAGAGATTAAGAGAATTACAGTTATTTCTCTGCAGTCTACCTGAAAATATAGAGGAAGTGCTATGTGAAGGGCTCCGACATCTAGACTGTAAAGTAAAAAAACTAAGGTGAGAGATCACTGTTTGATGTACTTTTTCTTGACTGTTTGTGCTCTGGAAATATATCCTAGGAGAGGCATCATTTGCCATATATATCCATATTCTGCAATTCATTGTACAGTCCATGCTTGTTTTTGAAGGAATAATTGTAATATTTTGCACTTTTTGCTACAGGCTTGAGGGAAAGTTCCTGGAGGAATCCTTCTGTAGATCTTTTGCTGAAATACTCAGTGAACAAACGAGATTGAGAGAGTTGGATTTATTATGCAATGACACAAATAACGAAGCAATGAAAATGTTATGTGAGGGGCTCAAACATCCAAATTGTAATGTAGAAAAACTAGGGTGAGTGATCAGTGTTTCTTTTTCAGTTTGATATATGTTATTTTCTCTTGTGTGTTTATCTTTCAGAAATATAGCCAGGGAGTGAAATCAATTGCTATATATAACCACATTCTCTTCAATTTTTTACAAAACACAATCCATGCTTGCTTTTCAAGAAATAATTGTAGCATTTTGCACTTTTCCTTACAGACTTGGTGGAAAGTTTCTTACTGAATTTTTCAGCAGTCATCTTTCAGATGTATTCAGGAAATGTCAAAGACTGAAAGAGTTAGAGTTGTTTCCCATCAACAATATTGATACAGTAGTGGAAGTGCTTTGTAAAGTGCTCAAATATTCAGACTGTAAATTAGAAGTACTACGGTGAGTAAGCAGTGTTTTTTAATTTGATTTATGTTATATCTCTTAAACGATTCTGTTCTAGAAATATATCCTCAGGGAAGCAATTTTAATACATTATATAATCATATTTTCTATGGCCTCTTCAAGACTAGAGTTCATGTTTCTTTTCAAAAATGTTATTCTAATTCAGGCTTTGTAAAGTGTCTGTCAAAGAGCCGCTGTAGGGATCTTGCTGAAGTACTTGGGAAAAACAGTCACTGAGAGAGTTAATGTTGTTTGTCCACATTAAGGATGAAAATGAGCGGGGAGGGCCAATGGAGGAGGAAAGCTGGCTGTAAATGGTCTAAAACAGGTGGTTAGGGTAAAGGAGGCACAGCCGAGGAGTCTGTGACTAAATGTCCTAAACACCAAGTATTATCAAGGGAACTCAACACAGCCAGTTGTGGGATTCAGCCAGTTCACACTGGTTTGGGAGAACCGTTAGTTAATTTTCTGAGCAGTATGGAGAAATCTCCTTCCAACAACCTTTTGTTTTTCCCACCTTACAGAGTTAATCCTGTCAGGAAGGTAGGAAGAAGACATTCTGGTGCGCCTCTTTGTGTTGTATTTTTTATTTATTTGTCAATTTGTCAATTGCTTACAAGATAATAGGTATAAGTAAAAACATAGTTATGAATACATGGATACATATAAGAAAAATAAAAAATAAAAGAAACAAGATTAATCCTGCTTATCTTTAAGTGTTTTCCGAAATTGCCTCTGAGTTAACCCTTGTTACATTAATAACAGCAGTTAATGGTTCTTGGCAGTACGCCCAGACTTTCTGTAGCCTGAGTGGCTTCTCTAGAGTTTTTTTTCTTTTGATGGTACTTTTATTAGGGGCTTGACTTTCTTTTTTTATTTTTATTAAATTTTACACTTTTAAAAACAATTAATATATACAATTTTTGCAGCAAGTTGTGGCATTGACTTTTCCATTTCCATTTCCATTTCCATACATACATACATACATACATACATACATACATACATACATACATATCATTTACATTTACATTTACATTTACATTTACATTTACATTTACATTTAACATTATCTTTTATTCCTGTTATCTAACCAAACATACCATTTTTCCCAGACCATTTTCTTCCTTCTCCTGCAATTCCATTGTAAGTTTATTCATTTCTGCAAAATCCATAATTTTCTTTATGATCATATTATCTGTGGAACTACTCTCTAATTTCCAATTTTGGGCATACATTATTCTAGCTGCTGTCAATATATGTTATATATTCAATGTCCCTCTTATATTCACCTCTGATTATCCCTAATAAGAACATTTCAGGCTTAAGTTCTATTTTTAAACCGACATGATTGTTTTCACAGCCAAACAGATTTCTATACGGCCAGATTTCTCGAATTTGGCTGGAAAAATGGCCAGATGGCAACCCTGAAACAGATGGGAAAACAGGAAACTCCCCCTTTATACCCACAGCAACCAATCACAGCTTAGATTGTCTCATGCAGGAGCCAGCTCTCTTCCACCAATCAGCTATAACTGTGTGTTCTGACTTATGGTACAACCCCTATTTTTCCAGCTATTAAAGTTGAAAATCTTAACAAGCACTGTGTGAGGGGGTCAAACATGGAGAGTGATTTATGTAGGTGAACAGAATTTTCATTTAGAGGTGTACTTGATAATTGATAATTGTCAATTATCTCTTGATAATTGATCTCTTTTGTAAACATATGTAGGAAAACCACAAATAATGAAATTCCATCCAGGTTCTTCAAGACATATGTTCACAGTTGGTTTTAAAGATCTATTTGTAATTATTCTGACCTTTCTCTGTAGGATTAACGGAGAGTACTTAAAAATACTCCGTGGGCACTCTCTGTCCTTTGGTAGACAGATTGCAAGCATTGTCAAGACAATCCAGAATCTACAAAAATTGTATTTGCATGGTGACTGCTTTAGTGACTATGAGATGAAGCTGCTCTGTGAAGTACTAAAATCCTCAAGGCTTAATAAGTTAAAGGAGTTATGGTAAACCATCAGTTTATTCTTTTCTATTTGATTTCTATATTGTTCATATGATTTCTTAGATTTTGTTTATTATGGAGACTTTTTAATTTAAATCAAATTAAGTGAAATATTTTACTTCTGATATTTTGAACTTATAATTTCCTTATTGATGAGAATGTATTCACTTATTCCATGTAAATTTTTAATTTGCTTGTTTAAGAGAAACTTATTGACTTTTTCCCTTGTTTTCATTAGGAAAAGATCAATATATTTAATCTATTTCTTGTAGAAACATAAGATATAATAATTGAACTGCTGTGGTAATAATTAAAACCTTCAGATCCAGCAGCAAAATTATCACAATTGCACTCTTTCTCTCTTAGAATAGCTGAAAACTATGCTGGCATATGTGATGGTCTGATTGCCATGTTTGGATTATGCTTATTTTTGGTTTTTACTATTGTAATGAGCTGACTAGAGTTGTGCTACATAAGATGGCTAGTCATAAACAAACAAACAAACAAACCTACAGTAAGTAATGAGACTGGGTGTTGTATATGACCAAATATGGCCAAGGAGTGGAGTCAGCTAATAGACTCCACTCATTGGTCCAGTCGCTGGCGGGAAAAACGAAGTCCCGTCAGTGGCTGAAGCTTGGGACAGCACCGGCTACAAAAGCCGGCGCCTGCTGCGGCTGAGCGGCTTTTTCTTATATTAACAGAATAAAGGTTGCTTACCAGCTCCCCGCATCCTGCCTCTCCTTTACCACGCAGAACACACAGAACACTGGTGATGAAGGTGGGATCTTGAACTGCGGAGAGAACAAAGGACATTTGTGGGGTAGGCGCCATTTTCAACCGACCGATGACATGGCACAGCGCGCAACCAGCCTGGCACACCACCCGATGGCCGTCCCATATGATCCCGCTAAGGAGAAATGGTCATCCTACATGGGCCGATTTAACCTACACCTAGAGGTAAATGGACTCCAAGCAGCCCCCGATGCACAGAAAAGGGCACTCTTCCTAACGTACTGTGATGTTGAGATCTATGAAATGGCCAATGCCCTGGTTGTGGACGATCTACAGATTGCATCCTGGGACGAGCTACAGTGTGCCCTCCGCAGCCACTACGGCCCGTCTCCATCTTATCTGGCCAGCCGCTATGATTTCTACACGCGGAGCCAGAGAGAGGGAGAGACAATCAACTCATTCATGGCCGATTTATGGAGAATCGCAAAGAATTGCAGATTCCAAGACACTGAGGGGATGATCCGGGACCGGATCATCCTAGGAACGAAGGATCCTGCGCTACGAAAGAAACTCCTGGCCCACAAGGAGGTCTCTTTCCAAGAAGCTGTCGACGAAGCCAGAGCCACCAAATCATTCGACAACTCGGTGGCACAGATCCGAGGGAATGGAAGAGTCTATGCAACCGGGACCGAGCGCCAGCAGTAGCTCAGTGAGTCCACCTCCGACTCCAGCGACGATGATGATGGCAGAGACATACATAAGCTGAGGTCCAGTAAGCCAGGTGGGAAGCCGGGACTCCGAGAGTGTGGCGGCTGCGGCGGAAACCACCTTTGGTCTGTGTGCCATTTTAAAGACACTGTATGCCGGAGATGCGAGTGCAGAGGCCACATCACAGAGGTATGCTGTGCGGCACAACCAACGAGCAAGCAGGGCCGATGAGCTGTGTTGCCTGCGAAACAACATGGCCGCCAAGGGAGAGCATGGAAGAATTTTGGCGGGAGATTCAAAAAGAGGGAAGACTCCCGGGAAGAAGAAGCCCACTTCACATTCATGGGCTACACGCAAGCCAGAGTGAGGCGCACCGACGCATTCGAAGCAAACAAAATAATGCCCACGGTCAGGATCGAGGGCAAGCCTTGCCATATGGAAGTGGACTTGGGGTCCTACATTTAGATATTGTGGGACACCCTTAAAAAACTCATACCCAGCCAACGACGTGACCAATTGGAACCTCAAGCCATTATTTTAAGGGACTACCAGGGCCGTCGCATACCGGTCCTGGGGAAAAAGACTGCACGCGTGGAGTATGGCACCTTTCGCAGAAATCTACCACTCACAATAGTAGACTGGAGGCTACCCAGCCTGATTGATGCATTGATGGGAGGGGGGCTCCCTCTAACTTTATCCAGTACCTTTCCCAACACACTGACCTCTTAGCAGGATTGTTTGGGGAGGAGTGGTGAAGTGCTCTTATAGAAGACTATTAAACTCATGTTCAAAAGTGGCACAATAAGAGCCAATATATAGGATGGAAGGTTTGTAAGCTAGTATGTAGAGCAAGAAAACTGCTGGAGAGAAGATTTCAGTCCTCCAATCTTGTATCCCATTGGGTCAGTTCTGCTATTACAGTGTTCAGGATCTCCAAACATCTAAACCTGATCTTTTGAATCTTTAGTTATTGAGCTTCATTGGGTTTGTTGAAATTAGTTTTCTACAGTCCAAAGAATAGATCTGATTAAGTTTATTTTTCACAAATCTTCTTTTCAAGGTAGACATATACAGTGCATTTGGAAAGTATTCAGACACCCTTCATTTTTGTCAATTTTGTTTTGTTTCTGCCTGATTCCACAGTTTCTTTCCTCATTAATCTACTCTCAGTGCCCATAATGAGAAACTGAAAACAGATTTTTAGAAATGTGTGTAAATGTATTAAAAAGAAAAACCTGAAATATCACATTGGCATAAGTATTCAGACCCTTTACAAAGACATGTGAAATTTAGCTCAGGTGCCTCCCTTTTCTCTTGATAGTTGCTGGCATGTTTCTACATCTGATTGGAGTCCACCTGTGGTTAATTAAAATGATGGACATGATTTGTAAAGGCACACACCTCTCTATAGGCGTCATAGCTGACAATGCACATAGTAGCAGAGCAAAAGCCATGAGGTCAAAAGAACTGCCTGCAGAGCTCAGACACAGGGTTATTGTAGGCACAGATCTGGGGAAGGCTACAATAAAATATCCACTGCACTGAAAGTTCTTAAGTGTGACCTCCATAATTCTCAAATGGAAGAAGTTTGGCACAACCAGGACTTTTCCAAGAGCTGGTCACCCAGTCAAACTGAGCAACCAGGGGAGAAGGGCTTTAATAAGAGAGATGACCTGATGGTCACTCTGACTGAGCTCCAGAGATCCTGTGTGGAGATGGGACAAAGTTGCAGCCCTCCACTGATCTGGGCTTTATGGTAGAGTGGTTAGACGGAAGTCTCTCCTCAGTGCAAAACACCCGAAAGCTTGCTTAGAATTTGAAAAAAAAAAAAATCTGAAGGATTCTCAGACTGTGAGGAACAAGATTCCCTAGTGAAACATGTGAAACATGGCTCAATGCATCTCCCCCTGACTCCATTACCACAGTAAGAGACTATCATGTTTACAGATCAGATCGTGAAAATCGTCGAGGAGGTGGTGTTGCTATATTCTGTAAAAAATCCTTACATCTAAAAAATATCCAAGTTACCCAGGAGCTTGCCCTTCCTGAGACCATCATCTGTGAACTATCCTCAAATATCACAATTCGATTCTTACTATGTTACAGAGCACCTGATTATGACATCGAACATGTAAACAAGCTAAATACATTACTAACATGGGCTGCATCCTGCCCATACCCTTTTATCTTTCTTGGAGATTTCAATCTACCTCATATTGACTGGACCCTAAATGATTGTACAACTGAAATCATACACACAACCTTCTACAATGCTATTACAAATCTGGGACTGGAACAACTAGTAATCAACAACACTAGACTAAACAACTGCCTCGATCTCATCTTCTGCAACAGTTTGAACCTAATTTACGGAATACAAACTAAAGAACTCTTTTCCAGTAGTGACCACAATATGATTGACTTTTGTCTCAACATACATCCACACAAAAATCACCACAATGATGTAATCCCCTATTGTAACTTCAAAAAAGGCAACTATGATCTTATAGACAACGATCTCTCATCCCTTGATTGGCAATCTCTATTCACTGGATGCAATACCGTTGAAGACCATTATAACATATTTTTACTTGAAGTCAAAAGAGTCATCAAACTATATGTTCCAACAACAACTCCCAAAACAAAACAAAAAAGCAGATTACCCATATCAATAAGGAAACTTCAATCCAAAAAGAGATCACTTTGGCGGAAAAACAAATCTGGTCACGTTGCCAATTTCAAAAACCGATACAAAAATTTATGCCACCAGATAAAGACTGAATGCACCAATTATCACATTAAACAAGAGGAAAACCTTCTAAGCACCAATTCCACCCGAGCTTTTTACAATTTTGTAAACAACAAACTAAAAGACTCAAGGTCCATCCCTCCCTTGATAGGACCTGATGGTAAAGACTGCAACGACGACACCATTAAAGCCAACATCTTTAACACATTCTTCGGATCAGTATTTGTAAACAGCAATGGATCATGCCCAGTATTTCCTAGCCGTACCACAGATAACAACAATGATCTAATACATATCGATTTCACAGAAGACAATGTCGAAAAATCACTACGCAATCTAAAACCATCTCTATCTATTGGACCAGATGGAATATGTGCCTACTTCTTAAGAAAGCTATCCACTGCCATAGCCAAACCTGTAAGCATAATCTTTGAAAAATCTTTCAGGACCAGCTCCTTGCCTAACCTATGGTCACAAGCCACAGTCATCCCCATCTTCAAAAAGGGAGACCCAAGCCTAGTTGAAAATTACAGGCCAATCTCCTTATGCTGCGTCACCTGTAAAGTCATGGAATCAATTATTAACCAATCCATCATCCTCCACTTAGAGACAAACAACCTACTCTCCAATAAACAATTTGGTTTCAGAAAAAAACTATCCTGTAATCTGCAACTCTTACACTGCAAAAACATATGGACGACACAACTCGACCAGGGCAAAGCAAT